GATGGAGGTTTTACATCTACCGGACCCTTGATATAATGGACATTCATCTCCATATAGTTCATTAGATGGAGGTTTCACACACATATAAGAAACCCTGGATATAACGGGCTCCATATAATAGAGGTTTGGCTAGGTGATGCCCGACCCATGTGTGGTTTGGGGCCTAAAGCAACAGCTACAACCTTTTCTCTTCACTCAATCCTTCACAAAAAACTTTACTATTGTACAAAGTCAATAAAATACTGTATGTGTTGTATATAAGATGGGACTAACTGTACTGTACTGTACTGGGTCGGCTCGGAGATGTTCCATGACGACGCTCTATTACTATAACACCAAGTCTCTCTCATGTACACACACACATACACAAACTTTACACACACACACACACACACACAAACTTTACACACACACATACACTTTACACACCCACAAATACTTTACACACATACACTTTACACACCCACACACACACACTTTACACACATACACACCATGGCAAAACAACAAATTAGTTATTTCTGCAATATTTTCAACAATTTCTGCGATATTTTCAACAATTTCTGGGATATTTCCAACTATTTCTGTGACATTTCCAACTATATATAAGAGTTTCAACAATTTCTGGGATATTTTCAATAATTTCTGGGATATTTTCAACTATTTCTGTGATATTTCCAACTATATCTAAGAGTTTCAACAATTTCTGGGATATTTCTAACTAGTTCCACCTCCAGCGATGGTATAATTTTATTTCTCAAGTACTACACATCTGAACCTCTGCCTAATGAGTATGATAATAATACATCATTCATTCTTTAAACCTTTATAATAATAATTGACCTTGAATAAAGGATAAGTTTACCTCAACTAAACCAAAGTGTCTCAAATGTTACTTAAAATAGACTTGCCCGGTTATTGAACTTGTCACTACTTAGGACACGCACGCACACACACATTATTCTGCGGATTTGCTTTCTTTTGATTCAGGTTGGCTTGGGTGGTGAAAGGGGCTGGGGTAGTTAAGGGAAGGTTAAACCAGGTAACGTACAGTTAAATAAGGTCAGATTAGGTTGTGGATAAGGTACCATAAGGTTAGGGGCAGGACAGGTCACTAAGAGAGCCCAAACGTCACTCCACGAACTACCACACAAACGTAACCATCTAACAAGTAACTAGGAAATACTCACTCTACCTTATGATACTTAAACGTCACATTAACCTTGTGTCGCCTGAAGATTAAACACCCTAATGATACCTGGGGTTAGGTTAGGTTGGGTTAGGTTAGGTTAGGTTAGCTTAGGTTCTTTAATCATCAGGTAAAATAAACTGGGGTAAATTTTTCAAGTGTCAATTCATCACAAATTAAAACAATTGAGAGCGTTTTAACAATGACAGTTTTCTTCATCTTGTCTATAAATTATTGTTTCATAATCTACTTAATGATAACAATATAATTCTGTTCACTGCGGTCTAGTTCAGGTGTTCAATAATTCACTGTTTAATAATTTACGTCACTTTAATAATCTACCTCACTAGGCCAATAATTCACTGTTTAATAATTTACGTCACTGTTCAATAATTCACTGTGGTTGTCGCTGGTTGGTCCATAACTGGTGTTTCATTTTTGTGTGCCTAACGACCGAATGTTTGGTGCTCGCTCGGAAGTCACAGAGTGAACAAAAGTAAGGCTTCTCCCCCGTGTGTATACGCAGGTGTCGCAGCCACTTGCTCTCATACTGGTCGACCCTGGGACAGTACGGACAACGGTAGACGCCCCCTTGATCCACCGCGCCAGCCTATAAATGGAACAAATCGTGTCAGAGTCCTCACAGGTTACCTTATACTCTTAAGAGAGCTCATATTACTACCGTTCACTTGAAGGCTTTATTGTACTCATGAATTACAATACAGTACTATCGTTCACTATCGTTCAGACAACCAGTAGTTAAGAGAGTCTTATTGTACCCATTAACTATCGTTTATTCAAGTGTTAAAGCTCTTAAACACCATCGGTCAGACAACCACTAGTTAAGTCATTCTTATTTTAGTTATTAAAATACTAATCGCTCTAAGTCGTTCAGTTCAACAACATGACGATTCCACAAACTCAAAAACCTGTTTGAATTTAATGTTTTTTCTCGTGTAAGTAATAATAATAATAATAACAGTTCCCCTTTTGTGTTCAATGATGGCCGGCCCTATGTTAACTCTGTTGCCGACCACACCCTGAGTTTACAAGGTGTAGAAGCTGTCGCCAACACAACAACCACACCCTAAGTTAACGAGCTGCATGACCCGGTGTTTAAGGTGTAGAAGCTGTCGCCAACACAACAACCACACCCTAAGTTAACGAGCTGCATGAAGCTGTCGCCAACACAACACCCTAAGTTGCTGCATTTAAGGTGTAGAAGCTGTGCCAACACAACCACACCTTAAGTTAAGCTGCATGACCCAGTGTTTAGGTGTAGAAGCTGTCGCCAACACAACAACCACACCCTAAGTTAACAGGCTGCATGACCCAGTGTTTAAGGTGTAGAAGCTGTCACCAACACAACAACCACACCCTAAGTTAACGAGCTGCATGACCCAGTGTTTAAGGTGTAGAAGCTGTCGCCAACACAACAACCACACCCCAAGTTAACGAGCTGCATGACCCAGTGTTTAAGGTGTAGAAGCTGTCACCAACACAACAACCACACCTTAAGTTAACGAGCTGCATGACCCAGTGTTTAAGGTGTAGAAGCTGTCGCCAACACAACAACCACACCCTAAGTTAACGAGCTGCATGACCCAGCATAAAGGAATAGCACAGGATGACTGGACAACTCACCAACTGCACTGGCTAATCATTACCCCGGAACACAACCAACAAATCAACTAACATCTACATCCCCACCTGGATAAAGAGTGACATAATAAATAATCTTACTTTGACTCTACAGTAAAGCGTAAACATCCAAAATACAAACGTTATTTTCACCACAAATGTAAACTCCTTACATAACCACCACCTGAAGATTAACCACCCCAGTTTATTTCACCTGAACTTATCAACATCAATATTTGCTGCAATAAAGGTTATCAATTGCATATGTCTTTTATTTCTCTGCAACGTAAGTAATTAATTTCACTGTCTTTTTAACTGTTTTCTTCTGCAACAAAGTTTATCAATTTCATAGCATTTGTAACGTCATTCTTCTGCGATATACTCATCAATATCGATTAATGTTCGCTAATTCATTGATGGGTTGGTTGTCTTGTGACTGGAAGCGTCAATCCTAGCTTACCGTCAAGACCAAACTCACAAAACACGTCTCTCAGTTATTTGATCTGATTGAGCAAAAGTGCGTCACACACACACACACACACACACACACACACACACACACTAGAGTTGGCTAAAAGTGCATCATCATCCCACACAAACACCCCTAGAGTTGGTTAAAAGTGCGTCAAGGTACAATAACAGTCGTCATAACAACAGCCTCAAAATACCACACAATGACTTAAAATACTACATGAAAAAAATTTAATTCACTTCACCTTACAAAATAAAAACTATAGAGATAAAGTCTAGCAGATAACAGTGTCAGATTAATGTGAGGCAGATACCAGATTAATGTGAGACAGATACCAGATTAACGTGAGGCAGATACCAGATTAACGTGAGACAGATACCAGATTAACGTGAGACAGATACCAGATTAATGTGAGACAGATACCAGATTAATGTGAGACAGATACCAGATTAATGTGAGACAGATACCAGATTAACGTGAGACAGATACCAGATTAACGTGAGACAGATACCAGATTAATGTGAGACAGATACCAGATTAACGTGAGGCAGATACCAGATTAACGTGAGACAGATACCAGATTAACGTGAGACAGATACCAGATTAACGTGAGGCAGATACCAGATTAACGTGAGACAGATACCAGATTAATGTGAGACAGATACCAGATTAATGTGAGACAGATACCAGATTAATGTGAGACAGATACCAGATTAATGTGAGACAGATACCAGATTAATGTGAGACAGATACCAGATTGATGTCAGCCAGATATAATGGTTGCCCCTCGTGTAAAAAGGATGGCCAACACAAGGGCCACCTAGGCGTGAATTTGTTTAAGGTGTAAAAGCTGTCGCCAACACAACAACCACACCCCAAGTTAACTAACGAGCTACATGACCCAGTGCTTAAGGTGTAGAAGCTGTCGCCAACACAACAACTACACCCCAAGTTAACTAACGAGCTGCATGACCCAGTGTTTAAGGTGTAGAAGCTGTCGCCAACACAACAACCACACCCTAAGTTAACGAGCTACATGACCCAGTGTTTAAGGTGTAGAAGGTGTCGCCAACATAACAACCACACCCTAAGTTAACGAGCTGCATGACCCAGTGTTTAAGGTGTAGAAGCTGTCGCCAACACAACAACCACACCCCAAGTTAACGAGCTGCATGACCCAGTGTTTAAGGTGTAGAAGCTGTCGCCAACACAACAGCCACACCCTAAGTTAACGAGCTGCATGACCCAGTATTTAAGGTGTAGAAGCTGTCACCAACACAACAACTACACCCCAAGTTAACGAGCTGCATGACCCAGTGTCAAGGAATAGTCCGAGAAGACCGGACAACTCACCAACTGCACTGGCTAACCATTACCCCAGAACATCCAGGTCCCCAATTACTGCTGGGTAGACAGAGGCAAATGGCGTAAAGAAACTTGTCCATAGTTTCACCCTGCCCGAGGATCGAACCTTGGACCACATGGTTGTGAGGCGAGCATGCTGACCATTACACCACAGGTTGCCAGATTGATGTCCACCAGATACCAAATTGATGTGAGAGAAAGAGATATATTTTATCTTGATGCCATGAAAGAAAGACTGGAGGAGGAGGAGGGAAGAGGGAGGGAGGGAGGGAGGGAGGGAGGAGGAGGAGGAGGAGGAGGAGGAGGAGGAGGAGGAGGATGGAGGAGGGAGGGAGGGAGGGAGGAATAGGAGGAGAGAAAACAGAAAAAAAATAAAGACATTAAATTTTTGATAATGCTTAACACAACAACACAAATCACTGATATCATTTTCCACCAGAGCGCCTCATTCAACCAGGTCTCTCACTAAGTTATTCACCGTGCCAATCTATCCACCTCCTAAGTTATTCACCGTGCCAATCTATCCACCTCCTAAGTTATTCACCGTGCCAATCTATCCACCTCCTAAGTTATTCACCGTGCCAATCTATCCACCTCCTAAGTTATTCACCGTGCCAATCTATCCACCTCCTAAGTTATTCACCGTGCCAATCTATCCACCTCCTAAGTTATTCACCGTGCCAATCTATCCATCGTACGGCTCTATCCACCTCTTAAGTTATTCACTGCACAAATTTATCCATCATAAGTTCTCTTCACCCCAAAAGGTTATTCAGCATACAACTTTATCCATCTGACAAAGCTTTTCACCATGAATTCATCCACCTAACAGTTTTATTCATCTGACACTGCAGACAATCTCACTTATCAATACAATAAATAATAACACACCACGATATTAACCAATGATCATCCCAATTGTTAACATTTATCCCAAAAAAATCAACAGAGAAGCAATTGGCTGGTTTATTGTACATAAAAGCTTACCTAACCTAACCTGACCTGACCTATCCTGACCTATCCTAACCTGACCTATCCTGACCTATCCTATCCAAACCTCATCTAACCTAACAGTAATCTAACTCTAACCTAACCTGCACATTGTACAAAGTTGCTACATTAGTGAATAAATAAAACTGTATTTCTGACATCGGCCCAAGGGCATCAGATGTAGTTAACGAGGCAACTATACAACGACCTCGCTTGACCTTACATCCATAAAACTAAACAATCGATATCAGGGACAAAATTTGCCGTTAATAAATATTTACTTGCAGATCTTGTCCTGCATGTTAGCTTTTGTCACATAATAAATGTTAAGTTGGCATAACCATTTGTATTGTGGTGTGAAGTGCGTGGTAAGGAGGGGTGCGTGGGCATAGAGTGCGACGCCCTCTTAAGTTAGGATAATCCTTGTATTCACCCAGTATAGAGTGCGTGGTAGGGAAGGGTGCGACGCCCTCATAAGCTAGGATGTATTCACCCAGTATTGAGTGCACTAGAGTGCGACGCCCTCCACAGAATGTCTGAACTTGTCGTGGCGGACGACGGCGTGTTTGGTGGTGGCTCGGTAAGGACACTTAGTACACTGGTAAGGTTTTTCCCCCGTGTGTGTTCGTAGATGACGCCGCCACTTGCTCTTGTCGGAGTCTATGCGAGGACAGTAGACGCAGCGGTAGCACAGGCGCCCCTGTTCGTCCCGTATGACCGGTCCCTCGGTCAACGCCACACCCTAAAACACAAGGGGGAAACAGTTACTACGCGTCGCCACCCGCTTAACGGTCTAATGCCGACCACACGAGCACGCCGCTGATGGGCAGTTAACTCCTACCAACACTGACAGTAATGTTGGCAGCTACAGGTCAATAAACACACTCAGGTGTTAATTCCTCACAGAGCATACATACAGACATACAGCACTGTTGTCAGATAAGGTATTAAACCTCTCATAATGACCCTCAGTGTTGCCACACCTTAAGGATGATATAAACAAGTTACTAGGTAGTAGTACAGTACTGTACACCAACCACCAGTAGTTGTACTGTACACCAACCACCTGTAGTTGTACTGTACACCAACCACCTGTAGTTGTACTGTACACCAACCACCTGTAGTTGTACTGTACACCAACCACCTGTAGTTGTACTGTACACCAACCACCAGTAGTTGTACTGTACACCAACCACCTGTAGTTGTACTGTACACCAACCACCTGTAGTTGTACTGTACACCAACCACCTGTAGTTGTACTGTACACCAACCACCTGTAGTTGTACTGTACACCAACCACCTGTAGTTGTACTGTACACCAACCACCTGTAGTTGTACTGTACTGTACAACAAACTGTGGTTGCACTGTACTGTACACCAACCACCTGTAGTTGTACTGTACACCACCTGTAGTTGTACTGTACACCAACTGTGGTTGCACTGTACACCAATTGTGGTTGCACTGTACACCAACTGTGGTTGTACTGTACACCACCTGTGGTTGTACTGTACACCACCTGTGGTTGTACTGTACACCACCTGTGGTTGTACTGTACACCACCTGTGGTTGTACTGTACACCACCTGTGGTTGTACTGTACACCACCTGTGGTTGTACTGTACACCACCTGTGGTTGTACTGTACACCAACCACCTGTGGTTGTACTGTACACCACCTGTGGTTGTACTGTACACCACCTGTGGTTGTACTGTACACCACCTGTGGTTGTACTGTACACCACCTGTGGTTGTACTGTACACCACCTGTGGTTGTACTGTACACCACCTGCTGCACCTGTGGTTATACTGTACACCACCTGTGGTTGTTGTGGCCACCTGCAGCACACCTGTGGTTGTACTGTACACCACCTGTGGTTGTACCTGTGGTTGCTGTACACCACCTGTGTTGTACTGTACACCACCTGTGGTTGTACACCACCTGTGGTTGTACTGTACACCACCTGTGGTTGTACTGTACACCACCTGTGGTTGTACTGTACACCACCTGTGGTTGTACTGTACACCACCTGTGGTTGTACTGTACACCACCTGTGGTTGTACTGTACACCACCTGTGGTTGCACTGTACTGTATACAAATTAACCTAAACTTGTATTGACTTGTTCAACAAAAAACATATATTTCTTAATTATTCTACTACATTCAATTATTGTTTTATTCTACAAGATGTGATTTCTTTACTATAATAAAGAGAGTTGTTTTATGCAGTGCTGTACTGTTTGAGCTTTTTAATATAGTATTATTGATTCCTTCTTCATTATAATCTACATACTACAGTACAGTACTTGGCTTCTGAGTCATTCATTCTACACAAATTGGCTCGTTTTATATTGGTCAATACAGTCAAACAAAAGTTTTTTTCACCTTCAATTCATTCAACTTTTCTTCATTATACAAAAAAGTCAAAATATTTTACATATTGTTTCTTTAAGTTTATTTTGTGTGAATTTAAACTGATGAAAACTTAATCAAATGCTTCAAGCTTTTAAGATCAAGCTGAATGATCTTTCTGAACACAATCTTCATTATCAAGCTTTCAAGATTAAGCCAAATTAAGTCTGTCACTCGTACAATATTTGGTCAAGAGAGGAATATCATCTTCTTCAACAAACTACAAAATCGAGAATTCCTCGACGAAACGACACGACAAAAATAAACCAAAATAATATGTCGAAGGATTCTCCGTTCTTTATCTTTGCCGCAGACGATTTATAAATATTATAGCCAAGTTTCCCTCTCACGTGATCACCACAAACTTAGCTGCCTTTTATAAAGATAGAAAATAATGTTTGTTTCTGTAGTGATGGCCTCATGCATGAATGTGTCTGATGAATGGAGACTCTTCATAGACTCCAGCTAAGTGAGCCTCAAAGCCTTGTTGTTACAGAGGCAACAAAAAACAGCGGTCCCGTAGCTCGTGGTGTCGGGAGACGCACGAGTCGATGGAAATCCTTCCGAAAGTTATTAATTACTCGACTCGTAAGCGGAATATTTGTGGGGATCTAAAGGTGATTTTTCTCCTCCTAGGACTGAGGTACACAAAACACCTGTGCTTCTGGTGTGTATGGAACAGCAATCATCATGTTGTAAGAGACTGGCAGTACAAGCCATTGGTAGACCCTCACAAGGTCTACCGTTTCACATCAAACTTGGCCTTATGAACAACTTTGTAAAGGCAATGGATCATGAAGGTAATTACTACTAGTAACTCAGAGAGAAGTTTGGCACACTGACGCTAAACTCAAAGCGGGCATTTTGTCGGGTCCCAGAACCGACGCGTGATCGCGAGTTCCAAAATAGACCGAACCCGCTCTGGTCTGCGGCACGGGAAGCATCTGTGTCGGTTGTGCACGACTTGGGGACCATAGGGCTAAACAGTATGTTGAGTTAGTGGAGTAAAGACCCATCTGCTGTAGGACAAAGTGTACTTGTTGTATTCTCATATTAATTTCTTTCCACCTAATCTGGGTGAGGTAAACGGCGAGGATGGTGAAAGATTTTACCAAGACATGACGGTGATGGGTGATTACTGCTGGTTCAACCCCAAACATAATGGGTGATTACTGCTGGTTCAACCCCAACGGGAGACCATTATCACACACAAATATGAGTCTCACACACTTCCCAGCATTCCTTAACACACACACACACACTTCCCAGCATTCCTTAACACACACACACACACTTCCCAGCATTCCTTCACTTCCCAGCACACACACACACACACTTCCCAGCATTCCTAACACACACACACACACACCCATTCCTTACACACACACACACACACTTCCCAGCATTCCAACACACACACACACTTCCCAGCATTCCTACACACACACACACACACACACTTCCCAGCATTCCTTAACACACACACACACACACACACACACACTTCCCAGCATTCCTTAACACACACACACTTCCCAGCATTCCTTAACCTGAATATATTTAAATTAGTTTAGAACATTGCACTGTTTTCATTAGGGTCTTTTCTGTAAGTTGTTTATGTTGTATACAGAACTATACATAATAAACGTGGAAATCAACCATTGTTTATCTAAATATGATGTGAAGGTAATTACTAAGCACTGTTGTTAGCTGTGGCAATATACAATCATTTAGTGTCTAATATAGTATATCATTAATACTGTACGTAGATAACTTGGAAACCCGACCTGGTGGATGAATTCTGACTTGGGGTTTGAAATCAGCGGCCCAGATTTACTCAAGAACACCTAAGTTTACCTTAGTAACAGACAAAGTTTGTTTTGTTGCACAGTGTTATAATCCATCAAAGGCATTTAGTGAAACCTAACTCTTCTATTAAATGGGAACTTACTGTACTGTATTGTACTGTACTGAACTGTACTGTATTGTACTGTACTGTACTGTACTGTACTGTACTGTACTGTACTGAACTGAACTGAACTGTACTGAACTGCACTGCACTGCACTGTACTGTATTGTATTGTACTGTACTATACTGTACTGTACTGAACTGAACTCTATTGGTAATTAAAACACTAACAGGTCCATAACACACATTTATTTATTTAAGAAGAGAAGCATGAAGAGAGTGCATGTGGTAGTTGAGTGTACTCTTACGAGATGTTTTAAAGTTACAATATTGACATAAAAAAGGTTTCTCCCCGGTATGGATCATAACGTGTCTAGTCAACGTTCCCCGGTGGTTAAACAACCGTCCGCAGAACATGCACTCGTATTGACGTTCCCCCGAGCTCTGCGATCTCTGCCCGTCATACTGGAGGTCGACGGCGGGCGCCCCGGTATAGGCTATGGGTTGATTATCTCCGGCAGGTCCCTCCACCAAGTGAATCAAGGAAGGTATCGGGTCCTGCGGAGAGACAAACAACCCGGCTAGTTCAGTGTACCCAACTTAACTCTCTCGACACAAGTCATCTGGGGGTCCAAGTCTATCAACATTCTTTTACTTCTCTCAAGAATCCATTATGCTTCTTCTCTCACGCGTCTCCCAACAAATTCTGCGTCAAGATTCTATTAGTTTTGTCAAGATCCTGTCGGCTAATTGGGTGTGTCACAAGTCAGTGCTGGGTCAAGATAAATACTGTAAGAGTATTGTAGACATTTTTCACAAACCAAGATCTGAGATTCATGTAAACAGTATGCATAAGTGCGTCAATCATACAGCCAACAGTGTGTATAAATGTGTCGACCATACAACCAACAGTGTGTATAAATGTGTCGACCATACAACCAACAGTGTGTATAAGTGTGTGTCGACCATACAGCCAACAGTGTGTATAAGCGTGTGTCGACCATACAGCCACAAGATAAAGTACAAACAAACAAGATACAGAATTTAATCACCATTAAATACCAACGTTGGCAGAATTTACCATACGATCAAATAGATTAAAGTCCAAAAATCCGGATGCCAAAAATCCGAACCACCCGAGAATCCGGACTTTTCGAAAACTCTTTTCTTTTTTCTTTTTTAAAGAATTGAGCTGGCTTTTGTGTGTACGTGCGCATGCATGAGCGCCACAGCTGCACAGCGACAACAAGCAACCACGCGGTCGCCACTTTAAAACGAGCAATCAAACTGTAACAATGTATGTAATTTTGAGTCCTACTCTTTCCATTTACAGAGTACTGTACAAGCCCATAATAATGGCTCCTAAAGTAGATAAACTTGGTTGTGTGAAGAGAAAGAAGAACACGTTGAAATTGAGTGACAA